AAAAAAAAAAAAAAAAAAAAAAAGGAAAAAGGAGAGGAATCTTTCAAAAAACGTCTTTGAAAATATGGATTGGCTGATTGGTGATCTGGTGGACGTACGCGACGAATTTAACGAAACGTAGCTCATTGAATCCGTGCGACGCTATGTTCAGTCGCTTGGATGGTTTTGAAAAATCACGAAGTGCCACGTAGTAGTGGCGATAATACCGTCACGATGCTGATATTAAATTTAATGCAACGGACCGGATGGCTCACGGCAGAAAATTAACGACGACGACGCTTCGATTCGTCTGGCGATTAGGTTCCACCGATAGAAACTCGGTGGAAGAAAAATTGCCTAATTAACGTCGTTGCACGTCGTTGGCCGAGATAATAATAATCTCTGTTCCGAGCTTTCTGATGCAACCGATGAGCAGCTTAATTTTTTTTTTTTTTCTCTCTTTTTCGTGTATACGGTGTTTTTCGTTTATCTCGCGATAATTACGGTATTTTATTATAGTTCACGTACATTAGCTCGAAAGAGTCATTCAAATATTTGTGTATTGTACGAAACATTTTCGGAGTTCTACTACACACCATAGCGATCACATTGGTAATGTTTGAAACAAATCTGAAGATAGAATGTACACAGAAACTACGAAATATGTGTATTTGATGTAAATGTTTCTCAGAACTTTCCTTGCAACTTTCAACAATATAACAAGTTCATTTTTCTTCATCCTTTTACTTTTATTTAATGCCTGAAAGTAGCGGATGTTCGAAGGTGTAAGCATTTTGAAAATGAACGATGAATCCACGATTATTCTTTTTTTAAAAAGCAGACCGTGAGCAGTGTTCGTCAGTATCGTTTAAACATGAAATAGAATGGAGATAATCTCAAAATCAGTTGCAAAGAGAGCTTTAATGTAGATATGTCGATAACGTGACATGAATTTTGTAATTGATCTTCTACTCATTAGAGGAAACGATGAAACGTGACCTACCACGTTCTTCATCTGTGAGAACTTTCATACTGAAACGCAACGCTTGCTCTCCGTATGAAGTGAAAAGTGAAACATTATTTTTTCTTTCTCCCTTTTTCCCCCCTTTTTCCAACGGTCATCGAATATTACGGTTTCACTTTATTTTTCCCTGCATAAGAATCTCGTTGGGATGAAATTAAATTCAGTTCCCGTTCGCGTATGCCTCGTCACGTTGCGCGAATCATGCATCTCGACTATAACGTATAGCGCTCACATGCTTGATATTCCTCGAGTATTTTTCATTACAAAAACTTGCGTGCGATACGTTCGAGTACTTTCTTACATTATCTGTTGTTGTAGCTCTGATGATAATCTTATATATCTAATTGCAGTTCTAGAAGAACGTAATCATGAAATTTCACGATGTGAAGCTGTATGAAATTCGCAATGTAAAACATAATTTTTTTTCTTTTTTTTTGATAAAATGACGATTTTCTTCGTTCGAAATTAAAATAAGCGATAGTTGTTTTTTTTTTTTTGATTGTTACTAAAAATTCCGAACAACTTTTCCATCTTTGTTGCACAGAACATATTGGCAGGTGTTTTTCGAAGGTTAATTATTGAACGATGAAAAATTATTGTAGTGTGTAAATAACCTGTAATATAAAATATGTAAATAATCTATGTAATTATGTAAACATTCTAATAATTAAAATTACTTGTAATTCTTGTAATCTTGTAAAATTTATTTAGGCACAATAAATTGTATTCTTTTGTAATCTTACTCCATTGATGTTTGTTCAACGTACGAACTGCGTAAGTACGAACAAGTTTCCCTGAATCGACACTAATTATCGATGTTTTTTTATCGGGTTAGTCAAGTGATTTGATTGCGAGCGTGTGTACGTGTTCTACGTACTCCACGCCGGATTAATGAAGACACACGTATCATGCTAAAAATAAAATATCGCTGAAAATAAATCTGTCGATCTATCAAGATTTCATATTTACTGCCTTTTTTGCACCCGTTGCAAAATTTTATCGCGTTACGCGGCTGGCTCGAGATTGGTCAATTTCACCGTTTTCAGATAAAAGTTACGGATATCTGAGAGCGCAATACAAAACGAGCAAGGGAACAACCATGCGACAAAAATAATGCCTTTATCGTAATATGTTATTGTTAAAGAAATAAATGGAGACACACTCGAAACCGGAGAATTATCTGCCTGTTTTGTTGTTAACCACTCGATTATTTGTCGTAATTACTATTAAAAGAACATTATCATACGTCTCGCAAAGATCAGAAATTAAATTGATCACCTGGTCAACATAGATAATTAATACACAATTAATTCTCAGGAAATAAATAATTTAAGTAAATGACTATTTTATTTATGCTTGAAAGTAGCCATTGGTTGTATGCAATATTTATGCTTTGTAAATAATACTAATTTATAATACCGATACAATCCGTAACAACTGCGTCTCATCACAGCGAGAACGTTTCAATCGTTTCAATTTCAAGATGTTTTATAGAACACGTTTGTAGAAATTTTTCATTTATTTTTAAAAATAAAATTCGATTAATTTCACAAGCCGAACGAGTATTCATCACGTCCACTACGATTTATCAAAGAGAATAATCGCGTTAAAGAAATAAAAGTTGAGGTTGATTTTCCTCAATTTTGTTATCTCACACTCGCACAGAGTCAACAATATATGTTATCGTTATCCTGCAATTTCCCTCTTGTGATTTATCACAACTTTCCGTCAAATGATAATCGCGTTATTTGCTTTTGTTTTTTTTCATACCACCAGCAAATTACCGACGGCTGAGCAGATATTGTAGTATATTATTATACTGATTAATTGGACAGTTTGTAGGCAACGATTAATAACATTAAAACACGATGCAACAATCACGTGTCTACAAAAAAATAATCCTCAACAGGTGTTCGCCAATTTCTATTAAACGTTGTACAAATACATGTAAATACGTGTTCATATTTCATCATGCGAGTGTAAGACAAAAGTGTTCAATTAGTATTAAATTTTATGTTATTTCGCGCGACATTTTTCTGGATACGAACAGATGGAAAAATTCGACGCTATGAAAATAAAAATGTAGAACCCAGATGATGAGGAGAAGTACGATAAGAAAAAACTGAGAGCAACTTTCTGATTGGAATTAATAGATACTACAGCTCTTTGAATTTTATTTTTTAGAAACGAGGCTGTGTCGTGTGTATTATACAATGCCCATCGATATCGATATCGTCGATACGATCCCAAGGGACGTTCCATCTTCATCCGCTATCGGGTATTGTTGCATTTAAAAATTAATATCACCTGTCATCCTACTCTCTTTTCACTTTTTGTATTCGCGGCATATTTTTTTGCACACACAATTAATCACAATTTATCACG